TGATGATGTATTTAATTCCTGTGAAAACTTGAAAGCTTTATGTGGAAAACAGAATTTAATTTTTTTAAAAGGAGAGACACGTGTCCAGGAAGTTTGAATAAATAAAGAGAATGCCAGCTGATCTTACAAAGTTAACTTTGCTGGTGAATTATTCAAAAAGCATGCAAATATTTTCAACATACAAGTGAAAGATGCCCATTAGTACCAAATCAGAAAATGCATAAGATAAAATTTCTTAAGTAAATACTAGCTAAAGTATCAGAAGTGTTACGTTAATGTATTGATTAAATAGAGGGGTTCTTTGTAACCATTTGTGATTGTTAACTTTTTTATATTGCAACATTTTATTATATTATTGCAGAATTTGAAGTTTTTCCTAGTTAAAATTATAAGCTTACCTGGCATGTTGTTAATAGTTTGACATGCTGCTTGCTCTTATGATAAAACGCAGAGGTTGTACTGTGCAACATTACTCATGTTGAGCGATAACTTTACATTTATTTCACTGGGCTACGTTCGTTGTAGTGCCAAGGAATACTTGATTTTCATGTAGAGGCACTGACACTTAAGGGTTAATTAACTCTGATTCTAACTTCTGGCTATCATTCAGTTGGAACAACAGGTGCTTGGGTGTCTTTTCTTTTTAAAGATCATCTGGATACCCTAAACCCCAGTCCTGTTGGTGTAGTATTAATACACAACTTGCATATTTTAATTTAGGGTGGTGGGGGTTTTTTTGCTACTGTAAAGTATATTGTGCTTTAACTTGTGTGTAGTTGTCAAACACTGCTTACTTAATGTTACAAAATGGAGCCTGGAAATGACAGATGATTAAGAAAAAACAAACAGTTGTGTGTGTACTATTTTTATGTTCTGCAAATTGCAAATGTTAGATTTATTTGCAAGAATGTGTGTTTTATTTTCAACTCATAATGAGTCTAGCTTGTGATAGTAATTCCTTTTCTGAAGGTCTGATACCCAAAGTGCTTAAGGTAAAAACTGGATAATTGAAAGTATTTTCAGGATTATGCTGTACCTGTAAATACAGAGAATGTCTTTTGTTGCCATTGTTGATACAGATTTTCAGAAGTGCTTTATAAGGTTATGTTACGATTGTTAGATGAAGTTGCTGGGATGTCTGGCTATGGATTTTTATTCCTAGTCTTCTTTCTTTGGTGTGTACTTCCCCTGCCCCTAAATTAATCTGTAACACCATTTTTCTTGTAAGTAGGAGAGGCTATACTTGTACTGTATTTTAAAGAAATTTCTGAGCAAACACTACTTTGATTTGGTAAAATTTAATTGGAAACTACTGTTTATCATTCGGTTGTATTTTTTTTAGTCCATGAAAGTGACAGAGAACCAGTTGCATTTGTTTGGAATTAAAAATTTTCCCATGTATACTGATGTATTCAGTATTCTGCCTTTTTGTTTTGAATAATAAAATGCGTATCTTCTGCGTGTAACTTGCTTTGCCTAAGTCATTCTGAGTATTTTGAAGCTTTCTGTGACCTTTTTGGTTGGTGAATGCATTGGAAGAAATCTGAAGGTACCTCAGTATGTTCTTTGTGGGCCGGTGCCAAGGAACAATCCTTGCCCTCTAGGCCAGCAGCTGTGGAGCGGATCTACTTGCACTGAATCGAGGTTCGCTTTTGAATGCTGTACAAATGGCACAGGCATTCTGCCTGCTCATTTGTACAGCTTTCTAGATGAGATGCATGCCACACTCAACCTTCATCTGCTTTGTGCTGGTCAGAGGTACTCTCACTGGCACACTCTGTAAAGGCAGCCAGACTGTGTATGCCAAATAGGCACACTGTTACAATAGCGTTACTTGAAACGTTTTTAGATATGTATGCAGTTACTTTGAGAAACATTTTCCGTTATTTACTTTTAAAGATGTGCATTGCTGAACATTTAAACTGTATTGAAAAGATTATTTAGATGTTTTTCTAATGTTCTGGCATTTTACAATGTTCCATAAAGCTTACCTGATACTGGAGTGGGGGGAGGACGTGTGTGTAACTTCCTCTATTTTGTTTTCCCAAGGGAGCTTTGAGATGGTATAACTGTACAACAACATGCCCGAGTTTTAGCAACTTACCATGCAGCGTTAGTACCTCTTGCTGATTTTGCTGATCCTTTCTGGCTGATTTAGGAGTAACCCTATACTACCTGTAGAAGGAAATGTGTTCAGACCTCAGCCAGCAGAAATAGTGGGCCTGAGAGAAGGAGATCTGAGATCATTAAGGATTCATGTAGGAAGAGAGGCAGAGAATGAAAAGGTTTCGCTGGAGATATGGGATGGGTGGTTCAGGAGTTGTGAAATGGCTCTCTAGTTATTGAATGTTTGTGTAGGCCAGGAAGCATAGAAGTTTTGGCTTTCAGGTAGAAGTTCAGGTTTCAGTGCTAACCTAGTGTGTGAAGATTTTTAAAATTTGCAATAAGAAGACGGGGAGAGTAAATATGAGCGTAGAGCATGAAGGAGAGCTCTTAGAAACTAACAAATGATCATCTATTCCATAAAAGCAAACTTAGGGATGAAAAGACCCTCTGATGTTGCTTTTAAATTACCTTTAATATCTGCAGAGGATTGTATATGTATGCGTGTGTGTGCTTTGTTAGCTGCAGAGCAAAGTCTGGAGGTAAGCTTCACCACTGTCCAGTGGGAATGGTGCTTGAACAAGGTATAATAACCTTATTCTTTTTTTTTTTTTCCTGAACCTGCCTTTTTGCTGCCCCTGTGCTGCCTTGTCTTTGCCCACACTCCTCCCAAATGAACAACCCATCCCAAATGACTTTTTCTTCATTGGTCCTACATCCCTACCTAGATTTGGTATTTCTGACAGTGTTACCTAAGCAGTCTGGGCCCTACATGGTGTTACTGTACAGTCACTTAGATGTCAGCAGCCTTGTACCCCAAGACTGCCTTCTGATTATTTGGTTTGTGCTGCTTACATTTCATTTACTCTATATGCTTCCTAGAGAAAATTATCTGACGTGGTCTTTACTCTTCTACCTAACTCTAATTAAACACAAGCAGTTTTTTATGTGCAGTTTCCAATACCAGAGCAACAGAATAATCTGGTTTGTGTTCACATGGTATCTTCACCCCTCAATAGTATTCATCACCTTCCCAGTTCCCATCAAAGGCCTTAGCTAATTAAGAGGCTCAGTGCTCTGGCAGGAGCATTTGCTCATACCTGGTGATCCAGGTGGCATTCTTAGCCCTGATGGTGGAGAGAAGAGGCTGGGGGAGGAGCACATTGGTCCTGTGGATTAATACCTGGTTCTGCAGCTGATGTTATCGACAGGAATTTTGTTTTTATGACAGCAGAACCCCCTGAGAATTGAGGACTGCTAGGCAGAGACAGGATCCACTTGACAAAGTGAGGAAAGAGCATCTATGCCAAGAAGGCAGCCGATGTGGTGAGGAAAGCTTTAAACCAGGAACAATGAGGGTAGGGAGTGTGACTTGCAGTTAAGTGAAGAAATGGTGGATGAGGTGGAAAGAAAAGGGTGCAGTGTGGTGGGAACAAGAGAGACCTCAGGAATACTAAAACAGTAGAAGGGAGGCTACGTCAAATATGTGTATACAAATGCATGCAGCCTAGGATATAAGCAGGAGGAACTAGAGCTGGAGTTCAGATTTGCAAGGGATGTCAAAGGCTGCAAGAAGAGAACTCAACCCATACAGGTCCATGGGACCTGACAAGCTAAATCCAAAGGTGCTGTAATCTGTAACACCATTTTTCTTGTAAGTAGGAGAGGCTATACTTGTAATGTAGTTGAAAGAAATTGTCATTTATTTAGGAAGTCTAGGTGTGGTTTTGTATTTGTTTTTGGACAAGCATAATTCTGAGCAAAAACACTACTTTGATTTGGTAAAATTTAATTGGAAACTATTAGGAAGTCTAGGTGTGGTTTTGTATTTGTTTTTGGACAAGCATAATTCTGAGCAAAAACACTACTTTGATTTGGTAAAATTTAATTGGAAACTACTGTTTATCATTCGGTTGTATTTCCAAAATGTATTTCTGTATTTGTTTATACTGTGTCATGGATTACTTTATTTTTTTTTAGTCCATGAAAGTGACAGAGAACCAGTTGCATTTGTTTGGAATTAAAAATGTTCCCATGTATACTGATGTATTCAGTATTCTGCCTTTTTGTTTTGAATAATAAAATGCGTATCTTCTGCGTGTAACTTGCTTTGCCTAAGTCATTCTGAGTATTTTGAAGCTTTCTGTGACCTTTTTGGTTGGTGAATGCATTGGAAGAAATCTGAAGGTACCTCAGTATGTTCTTTGTGGGCCGGTGCCAAGGAACAATCCTTGCCCTCTAGGCCAGCAGCTGTGGAGCGGATCTACTTGCACTGAATCGAGGTTCGCTTTTGAATGCTGTACAAATGGCACAGGCATTCTGCCTGCTCATTTGTACAGCTTTCTAGATGAGATGCATGCCACGCTCAACCTTCATCTGCTTTGTGCTGGTCAGAGGTACTCTCACTGGCACACTCTGTAAAGGCAGCCAGACTGTGTATGCCAAATAGGCACACTGTTACAATAGCGTTACTTGAAACGTTTTTAGATATGTATGCAGTTACTTTGAGAAACATTTTCCGTTATTTACTTTTAAAGATGTGCATTGCTGAACATTTAAACTGTATTGAAAAGATTATTTAGATGTTTTTCTAATGTTCTGGCATTTTACAATGTTCCATAAAGCTTACCTGATACTGGAGTGGGGGGAGGACGTGTGTGTAACTTCCTCTATTTTGTTTTCCCAAGGGAGCTTTGAGATGGTATAACTGTACAACAACATGCCCGAGTTTTAGCAACTTACCATGCAGCGTTAGTACCTCTTGCTGATTTTGCTGATCCTTTCTGGCTGATTTAGGAGTAACCCTATACTACCTGTAGAAGGAAATGTGTTCAGACCTCAGCCAGCAGAAATAGTGGGCCTGAGAGAAGGAGATCTGAGATCATTAAGGATTCATGTAGGAAGAGAGGCAGAGAATGAAAAGGTTTCGCTGGAGATATGGGATGGGTGGTTCAGGAGTTGTGAAATGGCTCTCTAGTTATTGAATGTTTGTGTAGGCCAGGAAGCATAGAAGTTTTGGCTTTCAGGTAGAAGTTCAGGTTTCAGTGCTAACCTAGTGTGTGAAGATTTTTAAAATTTGCAATAAGAAGACGGGGAGAGTAAATATGAGCGTAGAGCATGAAGGAGAGCTCTTAGAAACTAACAAATGATCATCTATTCCATAAAAGCAAACTTAGGGATGAAAAGACCCTCTGATGTTGCTTTTAAATTACCTTTAATATCTGCAGAGGATTGTATATGTATGCGTGTGTGTGCTTTGTTAGCTGCAGAGCAAAGTCTGGAGGTAAGCTTCACTGTCCAGTGGGAATGGTGCTTGAACAAGGTATAATAACCTTATTCTTTTTTTTTTTTTCCTGAACCTGCCTTTTTGCTGCCCCTGTGCTGCCTTGTCTTTGCCCACACTCCTCCCAAATGAACAACCCATCCCAAATGACTTTTTCTTCATTGGTCCTACATCCCTACCTAGATTTGGTATTTCTGACAGTGTTACCTAAGCAGTCTGGGCCCTACATGGTGTTACTGTACAGTCACTTAGATGTCAGCAGCCTTGTACCCCAAGACTGCCTTCTGATTATTTGGTTTGTGCTGCTTACATTTCATTTACTCTATATGCTTCCTAGAGAAAATTATCTGACGTGGTCTTTACTCTTCTACCTAACTCTAATTAAACACAAGCAGTTTTTTATGTGCAGTTTCCAATACCAGAGCAACAGAATAATCTGGTTTGTGTTCACATGGTATCTTCACCCCTCAATAGTATTCATCACCTTCCCAGTTCCCATCAAAGGCCTTAGCTAATTAAGAGGCTCAGTGCTCTGGCAGGAGCATTTGCTCATACCTGGTGATCCAGGTGGCATTCTTAGCCCTGATGGTGGAGAGAAGAGGCTGGGGGAGGAGCACATTGGTCCTGTGGATTAATACCTGGTTCTGCAGCTGATGTTATCGACAGGAATTTTGTTTTTATGACAGCAGAACCCCCTGAGAATTGAGGACTGCTAGGCAGAGACAGGATCCACTTGACAAAGTGAGGAAAGAGCATCTATGCCAAGAAGGCAGCCGATGTGGTGAGGAAAGCTTTAAACCAGGAACAATGAGGGTAGGGAGTGTGACTTGCAGTTAAGTGAAGAAATGGTGGATGAGGTGGAAAGAAAAGGGTGCAGTGTGGTGGGAACAAGAGAGACCTCAGGAATACTAAAACAGTAGAAGGGAGGCTACGTCAAATATGTGTATACAAATGCATGCAGCCTAGGATATAAGCAGGAGGAACTAGAGCTGGAGTTCAGATTTGCAAGGGATGTCAAAGGCTGCAAGAAGAGAACTCAACCCATACAGGTCCATGGGACCTGACAAGCTAAATCCAAAGGTGCTGAAAGAATTGGCTGATGTCCTTTCATAGAGAATAGGGGAGATTCCGTATGTTTGGAAGAAAACAAATGTTGCACCCATCTTCAAAAGATGCCTGAAGGACAATCAGGAAACTACAGGTTGGTCAGTCCCACTTTGGTACCTGGGAAAAGCATGGAACAAGTCTTCTTGGAACACATTTCTGGGCATATGAAGGAGAACTAGGTGATTGGTAATAATTGACACAGATTTACCAAGGGTAAATCAGGCTTGACCAACCAGAGGGGAAAACAGTGGACACCATGTACCTTGACTTCTGCAAGGCTTTCAACATTCTGCCACAATATTCTTGTATCTGGGGTAGGATGTTACTCTCTGGATGGGTCAGGAACCGGATGGGTCAGGAACCAGATGGGTAAAAAGCTGTTTGGATGGCTGGGTTCAGAGCATAGTGGTTAATGGGATATGCTCTATCTGGAGGTTGTTAACAAGTGGAGTACTGCAGGGGTCTATCCTGGGTCCTGTCCTGTTAAACATCTTTATCAATGATCTGGAGGAGGCAATGGAGTACTCTCTCACCAAGTTTGCACATTATACCAAGTTTGCACATTGTACCAAGTTGGGAGGACCAGCTGATACACCTTGAGGGCCACAGGCTGCAATGCAGAGGGAGAGGCTGGAGGAATGGGTCAGCAGAAACATGACAAAATGTAACGGGGACAAATGGCCATAAATTGAAATAAGAGGTTTAGACTGGAAAGCAAAACCTTTTCAGAATGAGGACAGTCAAGCACTGCAGAAGTTTGCTCAGAGAGATTGTGCAGTCTTCATCCTTGGTAGTTTTCAACACCCAACTGGGTAAAGTTCTGACAAACCTGGTCTGACCACATAGCTAGCTCTGCTCTGAGCAGGAGGTTGACCAAGTGAACTGTAGACGTCCCTTTTCACTTGAATTATCCTGTTACTGCTGCAGCTACCTTTCATACCTTAGTAGCTTCCAAAGCCTTGCTTCTGGAACAAAGCACGTGAAAGTCCCTAAATCTTACTTTAGCACATGGTTAGCCAGTTTCATTCAAGCCATGTCCACTACCAGTTTAAGTGTAAATGGCAAATGAATGAGGACTACATAGGTATTCTGTCTGGCTTTCTCCAGCCATGGTTGGAATCTTCCACTGAGGAAAGCCTTCTTTGCAAAACAGCTTGTGTTAATCTCTCTCCAAAAGAGACTGTTAGGACAGAGGTGCCCCAATAGGTTGAGGTACACAGAAAGCCTGTCAGCCTGCCAGGTGGTTTATGTCCCTTTAAATACTTGAGAGGTAGCTTTGGGAATAGAAGCTTAAACTACCTCCTTTCTCTCATCTCTTCCATCCCCTGCCCCTCCCTCCCTCACCAAGGTGTTTAAAAGCATCTCCATGCATTCCTTTGCTGTATTACTCATCAGTGTACTTGGCTCTTTCACCAACTATCTGTAACAGTGTGCAGGGTGCTCATACGTTGGCTAATTGTGTAAATCTGAAGGGATAATTATTCTTGAGAATATGTATGCTCACCTACTCATTGTCCCAGACTTGCAGTCTTTCTGTAAGAAATATTTCTATAAGAGGAGTGCAAATATCCCTCTTACATAAGGTAATGAGGGAATTTTTAAGACACCTGCTTATATGGCTCTTACAGAAATGCTTACCAGTAAGTTTGGTGTGGGTCAGTGATCTTAAATGTTTTGCCACCCAATGTGATCCATCACTGTTTTATCTGATCTCACACTCCATGCCATAGATATTAAAGGCCTGTGTCAGCTATGTTTTATAATTTATACATTGATATAAAATATGAGGTTCAATGGAGACACTGCAGAGCGTATATGCTGCAGAAATACATGGAGGTACGAGAAGAGGGGAGGAAAGACTTCTTCCTCAGAAAGTCAAGGAGTTGTTTGTAAGTGGGGGGCAGTGCAATCTGCCAGGGAAAAAGTGTCATGATACCCTTTGAGTACTCCCCGGGGGAGCAGGGATTCCCAAAAAACAACAGCTCTGCTGTTGTTATTACAGTAGCTCTGCTACTGTGAAAAGCTTTACTGGCTAATTTGAGAGTGGGAATAGCAGAGACTAGGAAAGCTGCTCCAGTTACAGCAGGGAATGCTTTTTAGCATGTGTGGGGCAGCAGGAAACACTTGACGTGAAAAGGAGTTTGTGATATTGACTTAACTCCTCTTTGGATTCATCCAGAAGGCGTTTGTATGGTGGCAGTGCCTCTTAAAGACACATTGCGATGAGCTCCTGTCAGTTTGCAGGAGGCTGCTTGTTTTTGATGAATCGTGTGTGAGGTGCACTGACATCTGGTGGCTCTGTGCACGCAGGCATGGCTCCTGGCAGGCCTTTGCAGGGTATTTACCCCTTAAATTGCCTTCAAGTGATCATCTCTCTGCCTTTGTGCTGAGAAAAGGTAAAACGTTAGAATAAGCAGAGTGGGGGGAAAAAGGTTGGAGATGCTGTTTTAGGGGAGGCCTCATATAAGAAAATGTTTGGTGGCAAATTCCTGATTTCTGTGGATACATAGATACTGTATTTGTGGACTGGGTATTCAAAAGCACTTAAAAATGCACATTCCCGTTAATGCCCAGTGAATTTCTATTTCTTAATTATTTAGACACATTTGAAAATCTCGGGTTTTTTATTTCTTTCTCTTCAAGAATCAATTTTTTTCTATAATAATAAACATTGTGAAAACAAAATAATGAAAATATTTTTTCAGCTCTG